GCTACATAAAGTTCTATTTATAATAACCAATGGCCCCAATCTTTCGCACATTTGGAAAATGTACGTTAAAAAATAAATATGTATTCGAAAATCAATTTGCAGAATAATTTTAGGTATATTTATATGTTTATATCTATATGCCTATATGTATAAATATTGTATAATATAAATATATATACAACGATATTCAGAATTATGATTTGAATTGGTATTAATTTTTTATGAATAGAATAGAAAACATTGCGTCGCCTACTTAACACAGCCGCATGCGTGTTAGAATTGCATACATGTATACTATGTACATACATACATATTAATGCAGTGAGGCCCTTAGTAAAAATTGGCTGATTGCCTGTTTTTGATGCACCTACATGTTTAATAATTTGGAAGATATGGCCATTTCTATATGGAATTCGAGGACAAAATCTTTTATTTTTTCCCATCGAAAACTGTAGCCTGACGTCACATTAGCAATGTATGTATTATTATGTATATACTATTTCGACCCACAATTTTGTAAAAAATAAAAGTTTCCTGCGAATGCATTTTTTCAGACTTGCAAGTACCTCTTTGCTCCTTAAGAGAACTAAAGTTTCTAAATATATCGTCAGATCGGAATAGGCAGAGTAAAAATTGTCAAACTCTTTTGTTACTTTCTACTTGAAATATAACCAGCGTGTAATAAATTCACCAATAGTAAGTAATAAAATTTTTCCAAAGCCCTAAGAAAGAATTTTTTTTATAAGTTTTTTACATTGGTCTTATTTAGTTGTACATATCTGTAGTATATAGTTGTCATATTATATATTCCAAAGTCAGTAAAAAGCGTTCTCTAAATGACTATGGTTCTATCTATGCAGACTTTATGAGCCCACAATTATCGAATCTGCTCGTAAAAAGAAGTCTAGCATATAATAATAATTATGTCATTTTACTTACCGTAAGCCTTATCTATTGTGTCATATAGCATGATTAGACAAGAAGATCAGTCAAATATACATACATATGTATGTACATACAGGGGTAATTTCGAAGTATAGAAATGTATATAGCATACATATGTATGTATATGTAGGGTAATCTCGATCCAGTTTAAACCTATTGTTGCTAGCACGATCAAGTTTAAATTAAATATCCTTAAACTTCGTTGATATACATACATATGTTCAGTACATAAACGCTTAAAACTCTTAATTTTTTCTCAATCGTTTTGTAATATCTCACAATCTAACTAACAACAACTTATATTAATCAAAAATAACTCATACGAATATCTATAAGTGTTTATATAAAATAATATTATCTGCAATATTGTTTTTTATATTGAAACATTTCTTAATTTAACATTTAAAAAACAAGAAAAACCACCGAAGTTATACTCTTCAGAAATAAGGTTTTCTATACAAGAACCTGATTTTGATCGGTCAGTTTTTATGGCAGCTATATGCTATTGTGCTTCGATCATAATAATATGTTTAGAAATTGTATGATGTCGACGGTTTTGAATGAAGATAGGTGTGTTACCGATTTTGTGGCAAACTTAATATACCGTGATCAGGGTTTAATAACAATACCTAAGGCTTCCATATTCCAAGAAAGAGTTTAGTAGAGTTGCTAATGGCTAGAAAATAAATTATATGAGTACATATAATATTACCTCAATAAATTTTCCATTGTTCCTATCTTATTATATAAACATCTCTAAAGTAACAAAATAATGCACGTTTATACTCATAATACTCTGCATTTGTCCACTAATTTTATCTAAACAATTATAGCGCATTTATCAAACTATTATTTATTGTTTTCCCGTATTCTATTCGATGCCATGAAAAGTTAAGCTCCCGGTACTTCAGTTTAATTATTACATATGTACATAGTACATGCTCGCACCCATACATACAAATGTAAGATATTGACAATTATGATAACAGAAATTTTCGCGCTTACGTGATGCTCAAAGGAGTACTTAGGTATACTCAAAATTCACCATGTTTTTGTGTGCTATTTTCGAAAATTTGTTTAGCATGAATTCCTCAGACAAAAGAAAAGAATATAAAAAATTTTGCAGACAGTCTGCAATATTTTCCATTTCACAAAATTATTAGCCACCAAAATTTGTATGCATGTATACACATATGTATGTATATGTCTGTATGTATGTGTATATAATTCATATGGAAAATGAAAAACATGCACGATATTCAATATTAAAGCAGCCGGTCAAAACGAAGGCAGCACACCTTACGTGTCGGTGAATTATTATTTTAATATTTATTTCTGGAATATATAAAATATTATATATTATGCTATGTACTCGTTTGCAAGCTTGTAATAAAGTTAAAAAAGCTTAGGCAGTTATATCCACTGGCAAGTTAGAAAAAAGCGTTTTTGTGAAGAAGCTTTTTTTTCTTTACATAAAAAACAGATACACATTTATAAAATTGAATGTACTTTAATAGAAGTCGAATTTTCGATTGCTATTTCCCTAGCCGATCTCCACAAGTACTTCTGAAAAAAATATGTTTGGCGGTATCTTCCTCACTTTGATTTGCTGCTTAAAATTATCTCTAATCTGAAAACAAAAAATTGTTTTTTCTTTATATGATTACAAGGATAAAAGGACTTGTCAGTATTGTTGTTCCCAAAAGTTGACTTCCGAAAAAAGTGGCAAAAAAATGTTTTTTTGTGAAAAATATGCATTACACTGGCTTAAAAACGAAATTATTATATTATAAAAAATTTTATTCCTTCAGTCATGACTTGGAAAAAATATCTAACAAAGTCGTGTGAAAATTTCAAGTGGATCGATGAAGTTTCGAAGAAATTTTCCTCACCGTCATGGAAAATAGAGTTTCGTGAAAAATGCGTTTATAGTTTTGTGAGACGATTACACTGAGTTAAAAAAATCTTACAAATGCACTCAAAGAATAAAGATAAACTTAAAATTTTGGAGAATATTCTCAAACATATTACGATTGTAAGGCAAAACTAGATTTTAGCTACTATCATTTTTTTGAATCTTTACTTTGGCCGAAACCGTTATATTTACAAAAGTAATAATTAATAAATAAATAGAAAAAAATGAAGTTCGTCTCTTGTGTCGTAAACTTATTCCGTTATTTGAACAGTTCCATATCCTCATACATACTATACTCGTATGTATTTTATGTGCGTGTATATACATACACACATATATAATTACGTCCATAGATATGTAAGCACATCATCCGTTTTTTCGTCTGTTGGAAGATGTCCAAATAATTATTTAAAAAATATTTGTCTGCGGATATACTAAGTATTTCTAATTTAGTCAAAGGCAACGTTCTGCGTGTGAAAAATATAGCTTTGAAAGTATGTATGTATGTAAGCCAAGAAGATCGACCGCTAGGTATGGAAATAAATGCATACATACATACATATGTATGTGTACCATAATAAATAAATGACAATTTTCATTAAACCTGAAAAATATATACAAATAAAATATATGTACATGTATACAAATGTTACATAAATAAAATAATGTGTAATGTGTAATTTGACCAACAAAAATGTTAGGTTAGGTTATGTTGTACATACATAAGTAAATAGTTTTCACAGCCCTTATAGCACGTTTCTTAAATTATAATATTCGGCATAAACATATACATATGTATACATTCGATGAAATACTTATAAAACTGTCTGCCCCATTTATTGTGGAGCTTTAAAATTATAACTTGTTTGACTTTTACGCCGATTGGTCAAATATACAACTAAGCTCATTAAAAAAAAAAAAGAATTACCAAAAGACTGTGAAGCCGTCCACAAAAAAGGTTGATTGCTTTACGCGAATTCTTTTAACTGTAAAAATATTTTGGTGTATTTATTATTAACTCCAGTGAGAGGAAGAAAAGCTCTTTGCTCTCTGAGAATGAATGTTAAATAGTCCTTTTAAAAACATGCTCTGCCAACTACCAATGTCCCATTACTGTGTCTGTTAGTACATTACTTTCTTTAATTAGCTGATCCTCTATTCTGCCTAATAATATTGGGATTATATTATCCTGGTTTCCTTATAGATTTGTATTTTCTATCTGTTTTGTGTCTTCTGTTTATAAACAAAATCATTCTCATAAGTTCTATTCATTGAATTCAGCAACATATTGTCCATTTACACAATGAATATCGCTTTTTTATACAAATTCTCTTTTTGCAATTAAAGCACTTGTGCATCTTTCTTCGTATGCACAACATTACATCTTTTTAAACTCCTAAGAGGACAAGACGAGTTGCCTTTTTTCCTGCCAAACGATAACTTCAATAAATTTGAAATATCTTTTATGAAATTTGGTATACGTGTTTCTTGGAATGCAATGGAGAAGAGGGAAATATGTAGTTTAAAACTTGTAAAAAGTGGGCGTTTTATACATCAGGAACTACTTGACCAATTCATTTTACGGTGTGAAAACGAAGGAAATTCGACAACAACCATGCCTTCCTCCCGTATAACATAATTTTTAATTCTATCTGATTCTTTCATCGGAACGAATCTTTCCACAAATAGTGCCTTCAAGTGAAAGTGGTTATATTAGATGAATGAGACTAAGGGAACTATTGGCCCAATTTTTTAACTACCGGGAAACGTTAAAATATGCCTGCGGCTTTGATCATAGAAAATGAGAAAAAAAATGTTCGGTACACCAGAACATAGCAAATCTGGGAATTGGGCTGAAGACGGTCACTATATTCAGCCATTGAAATAGTTTTTATTTTTGCAGCCGGCTGTGGAATTCTTTGTAGTTTCAGTTTATTTAGAAAGTACGAAAAATTTACAGATCAATTGATTAAATATTTCTCGATATTCTAAAAGCCGAATATAAATCAAATTGTTTCGAGTTGCCACATGATAATAAAAAACAGATATTAAAACACTCCACAGATTCATTAAATTTATTTTTTGCAAAACTACATAATACTTACATATACTTATTAACGATTTTTTCTTTTATTTACAGTCATCGTGTTGAACGTGATGTGTCGAGTGACGATTTGAAAATCTTCGGGTTTCGCGTAGAGTCGAGCAACAATGAGATTGAATACCACGATGGCGGCGTGCCGAGTGTGCTTAAAGATAGCGAATTTACAATGCGTATTTTCGGTAAAGGCATTACACCAGATACCGTTATAACATTTACTGCTACATCAAATACATTTGGTGGAAAATGTCAAATACCAGCAACCTTGCTATACAAACCCATAGAGGGTTCATCGACCAACGAATCTGCTGTCTATCGCATGTCCCTGCCCAAACTGGATGTAGCAATGACCAATGGCAGTGAAACATTTTATTTGTGTGCCAAAAATGATCCACAAATGGATGTGGTGAGTTAAACAAAGTTTATTTAAAATTGTTGTTTTATTTTTATTAAAAAAAAGTACATATGGAGTGTGGGAAAATGTAATAGGGACATAACACCTTTACTCCCTTCTTCATAGCTTTATTTATGTTCGTTCTGCATCAACCACTTTAAACTCAGCTGTAATTTAATTAAATAACTGTTACACTGTAAACTTTGGCATTACGACAAAAAATCATAAGTTTGGGTGTAAAACCTTGTAAAATTTAGTTATAAAATAAAATTTGTCTTTTTGAGAAAAAAAATGTAAATAAGAGGTTTGAATTTGCTTAAAGGCAAATTTTTCTTGGAACTTGGAATAACTTGCTATGATAAAATGAAACGAAAGTAATTTTACTTAGCTTCGGTGGTAAAAATTGTTTACTACGACTTCGAAATGGGAAATTTTATCACTAAAATGTGAGCTCATGCAAGCCAACGACATGCTTCGAAGCTGGTAAAATCGTTGTCTCAGCGTAATAAAGTTGACATTATCAGTCAGCGTCGTCGCCGGGTTTCAGTCCAATAGAACATCTATGGCAGAGATAGTGAGATCCCCAACTCGTCTCTCACTGGAAGTGAGAGTCAAATTGCTAAACGTCAAAACCTACCGAACTTTGACAGTTGACYGGATTGAGTAGGTTTTGACGTTTTGCAATTGGAATGACTGGAACGGCCAGATTGAAATTATACCAAAAATATATGTGAACGGAGGAATTTATTGCCGCCGTTC